GATGATAAACAATCAAATGAGTTAATTATAGAGGTCGTAACCTAATCTTTTGTTGATTTAGTAGAAGAGTTATAATAGGTTGTCAAATTAAGGGTTGGAAATTAGGGTTATTCGGATGCATTAGTCTACGACAATAATGATTGATGAATTAAAGCTCGATTAATTGATATTGGTAGCAGGAAATAAGACTAGAAATTTGAACTAAACCCAAAACATTTTTGGGATTGTTTCTGCTAGATTTCTTAAATCGTAAAATATGTAGTCCAAGCGTGATATTTGATTGATGTTATAGATTATGAATTAGATCGAACAAAAACTAAGGACTTGACTTGCCAAAAAAAGGTAGCTACTTCCTTTTTCTCAATTGGCTAAAACAATTTCAGCCTTAATCAAGATTGAAGAAAATGAAAGTAACTTGAATAGGCCTTTTTAGTCATTTCATATTCCCGATAGATATTTGGGTAACTTTCAAAATCGATTGTACCCATTTATTATTTTGAATGAAAATGATGTAAATTATTATCTTATTATTTTTGGATAAATGAGATTAAAAATACAAATTTGAATGTGTTTGTGATATTTGTTGGTTAAATACATCGTTGTGTATCCAATTCGAACAAAGTCATAGACCCTAAGTATTTGAAGAGTAGTAATATTAATGATCAATGCTTCTGCAATAAAGCTAGGATGACAAGTTTGGGTTTTAATTAAAATGGTTTATCCAAAATGAGTGTCGATCTTGGTGTGTATATTTGTGAATGATTTTGCCTTTTGAAATCTGGTTTGATCTAAACGTGATGGTCATGCTATGTTTGTTTGTCCTATATTTGTGAACCGAAGTTGTTGGTGGCTTTTTACTTGTGTGGACGAAGTTGTCAAGGACTTTTTTATGATGTGATTTGAAGTTAATAATGACTTTCTAATGACGTGAATTGAAGTTGTCGGTGACTTTTTACTTGTATAGATGAAGTCATCACGGACTCACTAAATGATGTGATTTGAAGTTGACATTAATTCCTATTTATGTGAACGAAATTATCGGAGACTTTCTTTATAATGTGATTTGAAGTCGATAGTAACTTCTTAATGATGTAAATCGAAGTTGTTAGTGACTTCCTGTTTACTTGAACGAAGTTGCCGTAGACTTCCTTATGATGTGATTTGAAGTCGACAATGACTTTTTATGTAACATCTTCGACCTAGGACCTAAGTAGGTCGAGAATATTACTAGCGATGCCTTGCATTCCCGGTGCAATAAATGCAAGACATTAAGCCTCGTCTTCTTTTCATTGTCTAATTAATTAATAATTGATGCGGAAGCTCATTTAATTTAAATAATTAGGTCCATTCTTTAATTAAAACTAGTTATAAATTTTTTTCCAAATTAAATTCATTTAACAAGAATACTCATTATTACTTAAAATTAATAACAATTTTCTTTAATAAAATGTGTGGATATATTTACCCATAAATATTCCTAAAGATTCATATTAGCAAAATTCAATTTAAATATTTTAAAATAATAAATTAGATTAAAATTAAGCAATCTATCTCTTTAATTTTCTTCAATTAATTTTATAAAATTTGGATTAAATTAATTAATCATTATCAATTTAGTCTTTATTAATTTAACAAACCAATTAATAAAATCCCATTAACTTTCTTAAAATTTTGGATTATTTAAAAAAAAATCAATTAGACCTTATTTAATTAGCCACGATTTAAGATATATATTCTATTTAATAATTAACCTTATTTTTAGGTGATGAATATTTCCAATCTAATAGAAAACCCTTAGAATTAAAAAATTCAATTGGACAATTCAACATTTAATCAAATAGCATAAGGCATAAAAATTAGCACATGGCCGAAATATGTGAACAAATCAAACAACAATCACCTGTGTTCATCTTTAAACAATCTACTAAACATTAATTCATCACAATTTCATGAAATTAGGCAATTAATCCTAATTATTGTTCCTGGTTGAAATATTCATTTCACATGACCAAGGAAATTTTTGTAATTAAACACTTGTATTCATATTAAATCATCCTTTCACATAATTAAACATCATTTAACATCAAACTAATTCAACCAATTTTAATTTTAAGGTTTGGCTGAAAGCATGATCCAAAATAATCAACATCAATTCTTCAATTAAACATATATTAATCATGCTTAATCAAACTTAAGAACACCTAAATAACACAATTAGATGGAACTAAGTTATTTCCGCCAAACCATGTCCTATGCTGAAACTTCTAACCTAAAACCATCAACTTCAATCCTTTAATGAAACTATAATTAAACGCTTAAACATGTTAATTTATTATTCAAAAGAAAGGTTGCATCAATAATTCATCAAGATCAATCAAGTTTAACATAACGCAAACAATCGAGCATTAAACTTACAACTTCCAAAGATTTCAAACATCATCCATTTATCATGAAAAAAACACATAATTCTTATGATATAGTTGATACTACACTTACCTTGATTAATGTCGAACAATTTTATCTTAGAAGTTTGAAAACTCCTCCTTTCTTCCTTCAAAGCTTCGATCAAGAAAATTATTTTTTCCTTTAATTTTTTCACAATACCTATTTATTTATTTTTAAAGAAAAAAAGACATAAAATGGATGAAAATGATTAAATAATTAGTTTTTTTAAATTAATTAATTTATTTTTTAAAACGAGAGGGAATAATTTATAATTTACTCGAAAATAAACGTCTGCGCCGCTCTCCCAGTTTTGTTTGGCGCTGTATGGTTTTAAAAGTCTAAAATAGTGAAGCTGCAAGCCGAACGCCTCCAAATCCAAGCCTCGCAAAAAAGGGGAGAGAGAGAGAGAGATGGATGCCTTTCCTATTGCCTTTGCCTTTGGCTTTGCGTTCATACTGTTGTGTGCTCTACGACGGAATTAATTTATTGTATGATATGAAGAACTCATTTATTCTTTATCACTTAAAAGATTTGTTTATTTTTTCTTTACATTTGCAATCTAACAAGAGAAGCGGAGAGAGAGAGAGGAAAGGAGAGGCGAAGGACTTTGAGTTTCTCTCTCTACGATTCAGAAGCTCATTTCATTTTATTATTTTATAAAGTCAGATAAAATGGCGAAGGAGAATCATTCCGGCGATTCGGTTGAAATTGCTGTCGAGGGTGGCTGCACTGACACTCACATTCCTAATAATGCGAATCCTAACGCTTCTGGTTTGTTCAACTCTTCTTTTCCTCTTTAATTTTTTGCATAGCTATTTTTGATCAACTCTTAATAAATAAATAAGTCAATAATTGGATAGTTCCAAATTTCTCATCTGCAAATTGTTTCTTTTACCTCTTCATTTCGAATGCATTTGGCTATAGGATTTGGAGAGTGCATAGGTAGATAAGGAATGGCGCGGTTAGATTACATTAGCTAGGAGTTGTATGATCCCCACTTCCCTACTTATCATTTATTATCTTTTCAAGAATTGGCAAAGGATTGTTTTCTTTGAGAGTGGCTTTTTGTGTGATCAGATAAGTATCTTGTTCACTTGATTCATGGGAGCGAAGGACCAAAAATGTGATTATACAAATAGAGTGTATTGGAGTTAATTCTTCAATCTAAAGTTTCTATTGGAGTTTTCTCTCTCTTCCTCACTGTTTTTTCTTTTCACATCTTTTAGAAACCTTAACATGTATGGTTCAATGCTCCTTTTTCTCACATTGATAGTATCAGAGTTTGATTTTTCAATTCTCATCTCTTAGCTCTTAGTCGGGGCAAGGGCAGCTGTTTGTTTCTATTTAAGATGTACTAAGCTATACCAGCTCGGAAAGTTGATGATTAGTTTGATTTTCTCAGTATATATCATTTTGGAGTTACTCTGGCAATTATAAAATGCCTCAACAAGCCCCCTACAACGGAATTATTATTTTAAAACGTCCATCAATTGGATATGTCATCGGTTCTTTGCTGCTGATTTCATCGACCTGATAAGGAAGAGATGTTTTGGAGTGAAGGTCCACCTGGTGCTGCACTTTCAGTGGGTCAACTTAGTTACTTGGAAGAATGAAAAGCAAAATGCTGTGGCAGGTTCCAGTGAGGAGGTGCACTCATTGGCTCCACAAGCTGTGAAATGATGTATGCCAAATCTTTCTTTCAAGATTTGGACTTCTCATGTGACAACCCTATGAGGATGTTTGGTGACAACTGAGAAGGCATTTATGCTACATCTAATTCTATATTGTGGCCATTGGTGCCTGGTGGCTGCAACTAATGGTGATTGGTTCTGCTCAGTAATAAATGACAATGTTTAGTGAGTGTCATCAAATTGTATGTGCTATGTTCCACATCAGCAAGGAGACACAATGCCACTAGTTACACTACTTAGCTGCATGGAATATGTGGCACAGACTTTTTGTATTGGTGGTAAATCATGGGTGCTTTCAAGCATGGAAGGAGGGTCTTTTGATGATATATTCTGTGAGTTGTGTGAGGAGGAAATATTGCAGACCTTATGAGATATGTTCTCCAGTTATTTTGAAATGAGTAGAGAAATTTGGATTTTTCAGTGATTGCTTCCTTTCAAGGCAATTGCTGTAGGATGAGCTAGTGTTTCTCTATTTTTTTTTTTAATGATGCAGCAATCCGGGGCTTCTACAAGAGTTAGCTTATATGCATGATAAGATATTGTTTCTCTCTTCTTTGACTTTTATAAGAGTTTCTCTAGCTGATATTCAGTAGGATTGAGGCACTCCTTTTGTCTCGACATTTATTTCTTTTTCTCTGTCTTTGTTGGTGTTTGTTTTGTTCTCCAGTTACTCAATACAGATTGCCTCTCTTTCAAATAAGAGGATTAATCTTCTTTTATCAAAAAATAATAACAAAAAGACATTTTGGTTGTTTTGACTTCTGAGAATTGTTATTGATGGTGCAAGGTGTAGGCTGAGAGGGTATAATTTTGGTTTGGTTTCATCCTCGACTTATTTTCCTCTGTTTCACCAACCAGAACAAAATGCTGAAAACACTTACTGCTAGAGATATTGCGTTGCGAATGAAGTATAAGCCTTCGAGTTCATATAACTCTCCCTGCTTGCTTCTCTCTGTCTTTGGAATGTATCATTTAAAAATGTGTCAAGCTGAGCAGTCAATGTTATCTGAAGAACTTTTGACTTTGGGGTCCTCTCTTTGGTATCTCTATATGATGTTGACAGGCTAAATTCAATAAATAGAAAGTGGCCAGAGATGTTAGGCATGTAGTGTGTGAGATAAATTATAGTTAGCATCGAAGTTTACCTTTGGATTTGTTGGGTGGACTGCCATTGGACTTTAATCAGGAATTGTTTTCTTCCTTGATCATTTTCATATGTATATGTATCTTTTATTGTAAACATTTGCCTTGCTAATTAATCATTTGCTATGATATTTCTGAATATGCTTTCCTCAGAGCTTATTCATAGGAGTTTGCCCAAAGCATCAGCTGCTGGAAAATCAGGAGCAAGTTCTGCACAAGCTAGAAACACTGGTAAATTCAGAGAGAACCATAAACTAGGCATATTGGCAGAAAAACTATTTGATGAGAAGGTCCCTATAAGAAAAAAGGTCTGTCACATCGCAATTATTTAGCAAAGCTTTCTTTTATCTTTTGTTTCCCTTTTATCTTTTTCGTTCAGAGGATTTCAAGAGATGAATTGCATATTTGTGCGTACATTATGTGACTCAATTTTGTAATAGACTTCTCATGCAACTGAAAATCATAATCTGTTTGGCTTGGAAGCTTTTGTTGGCAATAATGCTCCTTTATTCATCTGGAATTATGCAATCAAAGGTGGGTTTTGAACTTACAGATGCTAATACAAAATCAAATGGCTGTCATGGGTAGCACAGTTTGGGTAGAGTAATAACATTTGTTTTTTATTTTTTATTTTTGTTTCTTTTTTAGAAGTATGACCAGCTGAGTTGAAGATTTTCACAAAGTACCTGTTGCATTTTCTGCTCACGGGAACTTCTTTATTTATGTTATTCCTTTTACATATTTGTTCTTGTGCAGATGATCATCATGATAATAGTTTCCTTGTTAGAGGAGGATAATTTAGGGAAAAGGACAAATTTGTCCCCTTCCAATGCCCCATGTCTCATTTGAGTCCCTTAAGTAAAAATATTTTTCAATTGGACTCTTTATAGTATTCCCCATTAAGCAATGGATCAGTGATCTAGTGGGGAAGAGAAATAAACTCAAAAAAGCAAAAAATAGTAAATTTGATGGCTAAAACGAGAAGAAAATTGCAGCTGGAACTAGGAAAATAGGTGTAGGGCTTGTAGACAATCTCTAAAAGGTAAATTGATTCATAAGAATATAAGACATGTCTGAAAAATAGCATAGGCAGCCCATTTTATACTAGTTCTAGGTCTAAATCCTAATCCGTATAAGAAAAGGAATCACTATTAAAAGTTATATGACTTATTTTTGAAGTTGGATATTGTTTTTCTTTTTTATGCTCGAGAACTTCATCCAAACCCATGAGCCATGGCTTCTCAAATTCAAATGCTTTTTTCATTTTCTATTAGCTAATTTAATTTAAATAATCTTTATGTTACTTTTTAATTTATGTCATGCTTTCTTTCCTGATCTAAACTATACAATTTCAAGGCCTCTTTTTTTTTTTTTTTTTTTTTTTTTTTTTCCGGTTAAAAACCTTAGATTTTTTTAATCTTTCTCATATTTTTTGGTTTAATGTTGGGCCAAATTTAACAAAACGGATCATAGTTCAGCCAGTTAGCATGGTGGCCATTATTAGATTATGTTGTTGCCCAATGGAGGTTGAGGGAGGGCCACATTGTACACGGATTCAAATGTAAAGGGACTTAATCCTTTAAATTGGCAGTATAGGGACTCAGTTAATCAAATCAACTACGTATAGGGATCATTTGTGCAATTAACCATGTTGAGGGGACAGTTTTTGTATACCTATTTATTTTATAAGATGACTATATTATTTTAAAAACCTTGTGATTCTGTCATGTTTTTTTATAAGCCTTTTGCCCTTACTTTGTTGTCTTTTTTTTTTTTTTTTCCCTTTTAATGCCAGCTCAAATTATTTCGTCGTCTTGCAACTGTTAAAGATGATGGAACTGTTCAATTTGAAGTTCCTGGAGACATCCAACCACCAAGGCTTGATTTCGGAACTGGAGTTGTTCACAATGAAGTTTTTGATGAAGAACCTGTTGACACAGTTGGGGACACAGTTGGGGTTCATGATATGCCCCCCTGCAAATAGCAATGCTTATTGTTGGAACGAGAGGAGATGTACAACCATTTGTTGCCATTGGAAAACGTTTACAGGTTGAATGCCTTGTGTTTTACAAACTCTCTGGGAAATGCTTATTTTTCTTCTCTATGTGCATGAAACATTCTGTGCTTTTGTTTGTAATCATACCTCTGCTCCATGACCGTGTATGTTTTTTGTGTTTTAATTTGAGACTCCACAGTCTTATAACCATGGATTCAATTCAATTTTGTTACTGATATATGGGGTTCAAAATATGAGCTGTTGGACACCTTTTATTTTATTTTGTTTTTCCTTTTTTGATAATGACTAGCATGCCATACTTCTGTTTACTTGTTGGGTATACACACCTGATGATTCTTGTTGGATAAACAAGTAATGATTTTTATATATTTGATGACTTTGAACTTTGAAGAACTAACACACTTTCTCTCTTAGAGAATTACTATATCTTCATAAACACTAGTTATCAGTATGGGTATCTGAGGGTGAGGCATTTTTAAAGTTGGAAAATTCAAAATCATGAGGAGAGAGCTGATCAAGAAGGTAAAATTGCAAAAATCTTATCAGTTAAAAGTACCAGACATTTTGCCAAGAAGGTAAAGTGACTCAAAGGTTTCTCATCATCAAAAGCAAAGGGAGAGTTAACAATAAGAGTAATGTGGTTCTTGTTTTACTTTTTCATGGCATCGCTTTCTTCAATCTGCTGGTTTTCTGTGTCTTCTTATGCAATGCAAAATTTCAAATCTGTATGCTCCTTGACAGCATTCTACATGAGGTGCATTAGAAATGCAAAACCTCTATTGATGGGTTTATACAATGGTGTGGAAATGAGAGCAAACCACAACCCTCTCCCTTTTTGTTGATATTTTTATTTCTTATATTTTGTAATTTTGAGTTGGTTTGAAGTTATAGCCTCCTTTATTTAATAAGCAATTTGAGTTGATGGAAATAAATATATGCTTGCAGGAAGATGGGCATAGGGTTAGACTAGCAACTCACTCAAATTTTAAAGATTTTGTGTTGACTGCTGGATTGGAGTTTTTTCCTCTTGGAGGAGATCCAAAAGTTCTTGCTGGCTGTAAGTATCCAGAATTTTTTTATCAATACTCTCTCTTTCTGACCGACTTTTTGTCTGATTATTATCATGTATCAGAAAATTATAGGTTTTCTAGCCAAATTTCTCATGCTGATGTACATATATTTGATTACTATCATGTATTAGAAAATTATTGGTGTTCCAACAATTCATTCAAATGGAACATCAACTCTTATCCTTCTTGGAACTGCTAAAAGGACTTGAATTTCTTCCAATTCCTTTCTTCCACTTATAGGGACCTTGTGCTTCTCAATATTTTTGAGGTGTCCAAATATGATTTTCTGTAGACTTTTCAGCATTTACCCAGTTCAATTTAAGTCTTCTAGGGCAAAACACTGACTGTCCATTTCTTAAGTTCATTGTGTCTGCTTGACTCGTTACAGAATCCAGATATTGTTATTTTGATTCCTTTTGTGAAACCATATTACTGCTTTTGCATTTAGACTGACTGTGATGAGGATGAGTTGCTCACATAGAGAAGATATAGAAAGAATGATGAGGATAAGCCGCTTTAATGTTTTTCATGATTTGTAGATGCTAGATCTTTAAATTTGGAATTTGAATCATTAGGATGTAAAATTCTAATGAGATCAACAACTATACATGATATATTTTGTTTTTCTTCTTGTAATTAATAGCTAAGAAATTGTATGTTAAATTCTGACATTTTATGCTTGCTGCATCCAGTTGTGCTGCTTTTATTTTTTATTTTTTATTTTTTTGACTTCAATCCAGGTCTGGTTATTCAATGATTGCATGGTTTCACCCTTTGTTTTGCATCTTATTGTCCTCTTGTTTTTGGAGTTTTCTTGATGATGCATTTTTCTTCCAGGTGCTGTGAAATGAATAAATTTTCATGAGATATAGTTTTCAGTGCTAGCTATCGAAGATGAAATCTATTTCTATCATTCTATACTTCTTGGCATGTTCCCTTTTGTCTCTCTCCATTTACTTTGAAATATACAGACAAGGTGACTTCACTTTTAATTATTTTTAATGGAAATTTATGTGTTTTCTACAGACATGGTCAAGAATAAAGGTTTCTTGCCATCGGCACCTTCGGAAATACCTATTCAGAGGCAACAAATGAAGGATATCATATTCTCTTTACTTCCAGCATGCAAGGATCCTGATCCTGATACAAATGTTGCATTTAAACCAGATGCAATAATTGCAAACCCCCCAGCATACGGTAAACCTTGTCATATTTTCCCCTCTTTTCCCTCTTGGGTATGTGGTATCTTAATTTTCCTCCAGTATTTGATCGTCGATTAGTTTAAGTACATAAGTTCTTTTTGTGGTTGTAGGAACTTTAAAGTTTTAAAGCTGGTCAACTTATACTTGTTGAGAAGTCTAGATTTAGTGAAAACATAAGCAGTATGATACTGAGTACCTTATACCTTACAAAATTCTTACCAAATTATGATTGTGAATATCATTAATTCATGATATGGTGGGAAACTTTGAGTTATGTGAAATGGTTCCTGCAAAAATTCTAAGTCCTAATTTTCTTATACTATGAAGAGTGTAATTTTTCTCATAAATCAACAAGTATCTATGCTGAATCTATGCTCTTGTAATTTAGGAAGCTACATGGAATTTCTTCATAGATACTCAGTCTCTGTGGACTCTTTAGGATCTAATAACTAGAGAATCCCTTTATTTCTCAATTGAGTATTTCTCAATCGAGTTCTTCATACATAAGACAACCAGATCTTTGCTTCCCATCCCGTTTAACTTTTTCTCCCCAGTATACCTATTCTGATACCGTGAAATACCCCAAATAACAACTAAGCACAAAGAGGGGCTAGCATTGTGTCCCGTGAATGTTTTTATAATACTCAAATTTTTGTTTTGAGCAATAGCAAATTTTGATATCTCTTATAGTTTAATATCACACAATAATAGTTGAATTCATTAGAAAAGAAAAGTTAATAACACTTCTAATGGTTTAATATCACACAAACTATAATAAAATACAAGAATCAATTTTTCATGTATATAACTTTTGTTATTCACCAAATAATGGCAAATAATGTTGTTATATAATGGTAATGGTGTGTAAATGCCGTTATTTGTGTGAAATGCCATTGTGTTTCCTATAACAACGTATAATGGTAATGGGCGTGCTCGAATCCATTAAATAACAGATAACGATCATCATTTTGAACTATGCTCCTCATCTCTCCACACCATGTCACCATGATTGCCACCACTCTTGACCCCATAAAAACTGACCACCACTAGTTGAAACCACCACCAAAGCACTGTTATTTCTCTCCTTTATCCCTCCTTCCTTTCCTTGTAGATCTCCTCGAAGGTAAAAGGAAAAAAAAAAAAAAAAAAAAACAAATACTACACCTAATCTTCTGATTCTACTTGCTTCTCATTTATTGTTCTCTATCATCTTAACATGCCCTATCCGCTCTCGTCATCTCATTAAACAAACATATCTCTATATGCTACAATAAATCATACCCGTACCACCCCATACGCAATCCTAAATCCGAATCCTAATCAGATCCAACAAAGGTGGTAATAGTTTTTTAAAGATCCACACCTAATTGTGTGGAAAATATTTTGCTATGTTTATTTCTTCTATGTAGATTACATATATATAGGAATACAATAATAGTTGAATTCATTAGAAAAGAAAGTTAATAACGCTTCTAATGGTTTAATATCACACAAACTATAATATACCGGGAAAGAATTCTATACGGATCAAATCTCCTAATTTCTCTTACAAATTTGTTTGAAACAGATTTTCTCCTAATTATAAGCCCCTTGATTCGGCTGCCATTGATTTCTCCTTCTCAACACTCCCCCTCAAGCTGGCTTGTAAATGTCTTCCATAGCTAACTTGCTTACTAGGAAATCAAACTGTTTCTTTTGTAGCTTCTTAGTGAGTATATCAACTGTTTGTTTGGTGGTTGGTATGTAAGAAACAAAGATTAAGCCATTTTCAAATTTCTCTTTGATAAAATGTCTATCCACTTCTATGTGCTTCGTTTTGTCATGTTGAACAAGTTGTGTGTAATCGAAATGACAACCTTGTTGTCACAATAGACTTTCATAGGAAGTGACATCGGAATCTTCGGATCTTTTAATAACCTCTTGATTCACATTACTTCACAAATCCCATGTGCAAGAGACTTAAACTTAGCTTCAGCACTACTTCGAACTACTACATTCCGTTTCTTACTTCGTCGAGTGACTAGATTTCCCCTAACAAAAGTACAATATCATGATGTTGATCTTCTATAAAAAATGCTACTCGCCCAATCGGTATCTATATAGATTTCAACTCTGTACATTATCATGTTTTTTAAACATCAAGCCTCTCGCAGTGTTCCCTCAATATACTTTAGTATTCTATATGCGACTTCAAAGTGCTATTGACTCGGCAAATGCATAAATTGACTTATCATACTTATAACAAATGCTATGTCGGTATTAGTGTGTGATAGATATATTTTTCTATCGAAATGCTACTTGCTCAATTAGCATCCGTATAGATTTCAACTTGTTTATTATTATGTTTTTTAAACATCAAGCCTCTCTTAGAGTCCCCTTCGGATACCTTAGTATTTTGTACGTAGCTTCAAAGTGCTCTTGACTTGGCGAGTGCATAAATTGACTTATCATGCTTACAATAAATGCTATGTCAAGATGAGTGTGTGATAGATATATTAGTCTTCTCACCGGTTGTTGAAATCTTTCCCTATCAATCACATTTTCATCCTTAGCGGGATCGAGTTTTAGGTTAGCCTCAATTGGAGTTTCGGCTACTTTGCATCCCAATAGCCCAATTTCTCCAAGTAAATCAAGGATATACTTCCTCTAATTCACAAATATTCCTTCTTTTGATCTTGCAAATTCCATTCCAAGAAAATATTTCGATGCCACCAAGTCTTTAATTTCAAACTCTTATGTTAGCTTCTTTTTCAATCTTGCAAGTTCTTCATAGTCATCATCTTTTAATATTATATCATCCACATAGACAATTAGAATTGCAACTTTTCCCATCTCGGAATGCTTATAAAATAGAATGTGATCTCGCTTGACTTTCGTGAAAGCCATAGCTTTTTACCGCCTTCCCAAACCTTCTAAACCATGCCCGTGGAGATTGTTTTAGACCATATACATATTTCTTGAGTTTACACTTTATTTTGGCCAACAATTTTTTCAAAACCCGGTGGTGGACACATAAATACTTCTTTCAAATCACCATTCACAAATGCATTTTTCACATCTAGTTGATGTAATGTCCAGTTCAAATTGATTGCAAGAGAAAGTAACACTTGAATAGAGTTAGTTTTGGCTACCGGGGCAAAAGTTTCCTAGTAATCAATACCATAGGTTTGAGTAAACCTTTTGTCAAGATATATATTAGCTATAAATATGATTATTATTATTATTATCCGATAGATATTGGGGGTGTTAATGTTATCCCTTAATTTGAGGGACTAGTTAAGATTATCTCTATCCTTAGATTAGCTAGTTTCCTACTCGACTTTAGGACTTATTGTATATATATTCGATGAATTGTAACTTACGTAAGTGAGAATATATAATTTTTTTCTCTCAATTTTCTTAACATGCTATCGAGCCTTAGGGTTTCTTTGTCGAAATTTTACCACTTGTACGACTTTCATTGCTATCGGTCTTTTTTAGTTTTTTTCCGCAGTCTTAATTGCTGTAATGTTTTCACAGCTTTTTATTTCTAAACCTTCGTTCCTTAACTATGTCTACATCCGAAACTTCCATATCGGAGGTAGTAAATTCTATCTAAAAACCCGACGAGTTACAAAACATTAGGGCCTCCTATCAACTCAATGGAAAAAACTATCCGAAGTGGTCTTAATTCATTCATCCATACCTATAACCCCCGTCCTAGTAATAGGAAGATCATAGTGGCAAATGGATTCTTGATTGCTATTGCGAGTGTAGGAAACGTCATGGTTACATCTACTCTTACTCTTAAAAATGTACTCCTTGTGCCAAAATTATCAACCAACCTAGTGTCAATCAAAGAACTTACTCATGATCTTAAATGCTTTGCAATCTTTTCTCCTTCTTATTGTGTTTTGCGGGATTAGGGCTCGAGGAGGAAGATTGGACTTGCTAAGGAAATGAATGGCCTTTACCACCTTGATTCTTCTCGAAGTATCTTGAATAATTTGTCTATGTCTTTGTTTAGTTCTTCCAATAAAGAGACCATTTGACTCTATCACCTTCGTCTTGGTCATCCTACGTTTAGAGTTCTTAAATTCATGTTTCCTAACTTGTTCAAAGGATTAGACATTTCAGATTTTCATTGTGAAATTTGTGAGTTGGCAAAACACATTCGTATATCTTTTTTTATCAATAATCAAAGAAGTTCTAAACCTTTTCATTTGATCCATAGTGACATATGGGGTCCTTCTCCTATTTCAAATATCTCCGGTGCTAGATAGTTTGTTTCCTTGATAGATGATTGTACTCGAGTTACTTGGCTTTATTTACTCAAACAAAAATCGATGTTAGCACTCGTTATCCTCACTTTTCTTTCTATGATTCACAATCAATTTGGGGTCCAAATTAAAAATTTTAGGTCGGACAATGCTAGGAACTACTTTAACCACATATTGACTCCATACGTTCAACAACAAGGAATCATTTATGACTCCTCTTGTGTTGATACACCCCAACAAAATGGGGTGGCTGAACGCAAAAATGGGCACTTACTCAATGTGGCTAGGGCTTTAATTTTTTAGGGAAATGTTCCAAAATCTTGTTAGGGGAGGTCGTCCTTACGACCACTCATATGATTAATAGACTGCCTTCTCAAGTTTTATCCCATAAAAGTCTCATGGAGGTCCTCAATACCTTTTATCCGGAGTTTCGAAGTTCTAATGGATTCATTCCTAGGGTGTTTGGTTGCATAACCTTTGTTCACATTCATAGTCATCAAAGAGGAAAGTCGGATCCCCGAGCATATAAGTGTGTTTTCTTGGGTTATTCTTCTACACAAAAAGGCTACAAGTGTTATAATCCTCTCACCAAAAAATTTTATGTTTCAGGTCGATGTCACTTTCATAGAACATTAGCCATACTTCAAAAATTCCTATCTTCAAGGAGAGACTATATCACTACTAGAAAATAGTACTTTTGATAGTGCTTGTACTCTTGATCTCTCTAGTCATCCAGGTAAAGTCGGTTCCATCTCCTATTCCCGGTTCTATATTAGAATCTATTCCTAATCCAAAACAAAGTCCATCAATTCCTAATCCTGCAGAATCTAATCCGAATCCAACCCAAGTTCCGAAACTGTTTCTCAAGTTCCGGATCATGTTATCCATAATGATTCGAGATTTTCACATCCATATACTAGGACCTGTTCCGGACACCGCAACAAGTTCAAGAGTCCTACCCGAGTCTCGACAAGAACCCCATCGTAAGATCTAATCCAATCCCAAGCACACGATTAGTAGAACCACTCAATGACCTTCCCATAGCTATTAGAAAAGGCGAGTAGAGAATGCACTAAAAGACCCATGTACCCACCCATTGTCTCACTATGTGTCACTTAAAAACCTTTCACCAAATCATAGACAATTCATTACCAGACCTCAACATCATTTTTATCCCCACTACCGTATCCGAGGTATTGTCAAAAAGAGAATGGAGAAATGCCACGAAAGAGGAGAAGACTCGCTCTAGAAAAGAATCAAACATGGGAAATTGTGGTTAAACCAAAGGAGAAAAACATAATTGGTTGTAAGTGGATTTTTACACCTAAGTATAAGGCTGATTTATCACTTGAGAGGTATAGAGCAAAGTTGGTGGCTAAGGGATATAATCGGACATATGGGGTAGACTATCGGGAGACATTTGCACTCGTGACAAGGATGAACACTATTAGGATTCTCGCTATCCCTAGCAACACATTTTGATTGGCGGCTATTACAATATGATGTGAAGAATGCATTTCTTCATAGAGACCTAGATGAAGAAATTTACATGGTTGTTTCTCTATGATTTGAAGAAAAAACAAGGAATAAAGTTTGCCGGTTGCGAGAAGACCCTTTATGGACTAAAACAATCATCAAGAGCATAGTTTGGAAGATTTACTAAAGTTATGAAAGCTTTTGGATACCAATTGAGTCAAGGTGATCATACCTTTTTTATAAAGCATTCATTTGCAGGGGGAGTGACAACACTTCTAGTGTATGTAGATGACACCATCGTCATTGGGAATGATGAAAAGGAAAAATTAGAGCTGAAACAATGGCTGGTCAAGGAATTCAAGATAAAGAAGCTTGGGAGATTGAAGTACTTCCTAGGTATTAAGGTAGCATACTCCGGAAAGGGGATTTTCATATTTCAGCAAAAATATATGGTTGATTTATTAAAAAAGACAAGGAAAATTGGATGTAAGCCAATATCTACACGTATTGAAGCTAATCAAAAACTCGACGAAGCCAAAGAAGAACCTCCAATGGATAGAAAAATGTACCGGAGGCTAGTAAGGAGGCTTATCTACCTTGCACATTCTTGACTAGACATAGAATACTTTGTAGGTGTAATCAATTAGTTCATGCATGATCCGAGGGAGTCACATCTACAAGTCACTTATAGAATGTTATAGTATTTGAAAGGAAATCCGGGAAAAGGAATCCTGTTCAAAAGACAAAGGGATCTTGCCTTTGAAGTCTACACTCGATGCAGATTATGGAGGATCTATAATGGATAGAAGATCAACTATTGGGTATTGTATGTTCCTTAGAGGTAATTTTATAACATGGAGGAGTAAAAAATAGAATGTTGTGGCTAGATCATCTGCTGAATCAGAATTTACAGCAATTGCTCAAGGTTTGTGTGAGATGTTGTGGTTGAAGATTATCCTAGACGACTTGAGAATCAAGTGGGAAGGTCCTATAAAACTCTACTATGATAACAAATCTGCTATCAACATTGCTCATAATCTTATATAACATGATAGGACTAAGCATATTGAGATTGATAGACACTTTATGAAAGAGAAGTCTGGAGGAGGGATTAGAATGCTTATCTTATGTTCCTACAAGGTATCAACTCACAAATGTTCTTACCAAAGGGTTGAATAGCTCCAATTTTCATGATAATATTTCTAAGTTGGGAATGAAAGATATCTATTCCTCGACTTTAGGGGAGTGTCAAGATATATATTAATTGTAAATATGATTATTATTATTATCCGATAGATATTAGAGGTGTTAATGTTATCCTTTAATTTGAGAGATTCTAGTTAAGATTATCTCTATTCCTAGATTAGGTAGTTTCCTACTCGACTCTAGGACTTATTGTATATATATTCGATGAATTGTAATTTATGTAAGTGAGAATATATAATTGTTCCTCTCAATGTTCTTCAACACCCCTTAGCAATAAGTCTCGCTTTGTATTTTTCTACACTTCCATCAGCCTTGTACTTCATAGTAAACACCCATTTACAATCAATTTTTCTTTGATGTTTGGGCAACTTTACAACTCCCTATATCCCATTTTTCACTAGAGTATGCATCTCCTCCATTACTGCTGATTTCCATTTTGGATCATCAAATGCTTCCCGAATGTTTCTCGGAACAAACAGATTAGAGATTTTTGATGTAAATGCCATGACTCGAGATAGTTTATCATATGAGAGATATTTTGCAATAAGATGGCTAGTACAAGACCGGGTACCTTTTCTAAGTGCTATGGGAATGTCAAGATTATAGTAAGTATCAAGAACGGGAACAGTATTGGATAGTAGAGAGTTTAGATCACCTTGCATGTCTACGGGCTCATCATTCGGGATGTTTGATTGATTTTGTGCTTTGGGAACAATACGCTATTTGCCATTTTGATGATTCTTTCTCCTTGTGTAAACTCTAAACTCAAGTTCTTGCTCTTTAGGATCATCTAGTAGTATTTCTCCTCCTGTCGAATTTTCAACATTTTCTAGCTCTATAATATTAGGAACAACTAGCTTTTGGAGATTTTCAAGGGAATCTATGGTTTTAGGCAAGAGAGTGGGATTAACTTCCCAGAAATTTTCTTCACTTTGTTGATATTGAGGCAGTTTTGGTATATGATCGTGCACAATGGTGCAATGGGATCCATATAACCGACACCCAACTAGTTTGGGACTGAGGCTTGGTTGTTGTTGTTAATTTGGAAAAAGAAAAATAATATAACAATATTCGTATAATGAAATTCTGAAAGTAGCTATCTAATATAGTCTAGTTGTATTTGGAGATTGCTTCAAATAAGTTTGCATTGGAAATACTTGAACAATTCAAATAAGTAAAAATAAGTTTTTTTTTTTTTTTTTTTTTAGAATTTCACCCTTAACAATGATGACATGTACAAAGTGCTCATTGACATCAGTTTTTGAGATTAAGGCTACCAACAGCAAATAATGGGAGTTTTTCTTTTTGTGAATAAAAATCAATAGTGATTTATTTTCTATTTTCTTGTTCAACTTTGTTTTGAGGTGTATTTGTGTGTCTTAGGCACTTGATAGTCTTTTTAATTTGCTATTTGTTAGAGATTAAGGAAAAATATGGCATGGGCACTGCACAACAATTTTATTGGATGCAATATCATTAGCCACTTAGATTTAAACATGTGGAACTGGTTTATAAATTATGGATTTTTATAGATGTCTTATTCTGCTCATGCTTGCTTTCTTGAAATGTTGTGCCATAGACTCTAATACCGTCATGGCTCTGATCAATGGAAATTCCATCTCTTCTTAACCTTCCTTTTCACACTACTAATTCAGCAAATAATTATATAGGACATACACATGTTGCAGAGGCGCTGAAAGTACCGCTTCATATAATCTTCACAATGCCCTGGACGTATGTTTTCTTTCCTTGGATTGATCTTATTGCCACAATGCTTTTAAATCAATATTAGCAATGTGTCATTTTATTATTTTTGTTTTGCTCATAGTTGTTATGTGCTGCTCAATTTACTCTACTTCCAAATAAATGTGGATTGCTTGTTTTCGATTTGAATTTAATACCATGATGATGTTTGATACTGTTACTAGGCCTACTAGTGAATTTCCACATCCTCTGTCCCGTGTCAAGCAACCAGTTGCTTATAAAGTGAGTACTTTATTTTTTTATTTTCATCGTCATTTTATTATTTTCTATCATTTTATGCCTTAATAATTTCATACCCTTAATTGAGATTGACTCTCACTGCAGCTATCATATCAAATTGTTGATTCCTTGATTTGGCTTGGAATTCGAGATGTGATAAATGGTTTTAGAAAGCATCATCTAAAGCTGAGACCTGCTACATATTTAAGTGGATATTATAGCTCTGCTCCTGATTTGCCTTATGGGTATATTTGGAGCCCTCACCTTGTTCCCAAACCAAAAGGTTATATATTTTTACCATCAAAATGACTGTTTTCTAGAATTAGTATTGTCGTTGATGTTGTTAATTGTTATGATTGGATTTATGATTTACATTATGAGTTTATAGTGAAGTATAGTTTTAAATTGCGGATGCAGTTGTAACTTGTAAAAATGGTCGCAATTGCAATTGAAGATTGATAGTAAATAGCGGTCATGGCGATTGATGTCGTGAATGCATTAGCAGACTAGCAATTGTTAATAAATTTATTCTAATTTACATATTTTTAGCGGTTTTACTAATTAAGCATAATAATAACATCTTTAATAGTTTAATATCATACAACAATTGTTGAATTTACTACAAAATAAAGTTAATAATACTTCTAATAGTTTAATATCACAAACAATAATAAAATACAAAATAAAGTTAATAATTCTTCTTTTTTGTCATTTTGTGGAGTTATGGAACATAAAATCAGTACAATTCTAGTTTGGGTAGAGTTGTAAAATTGATTTTGCTGATCTCCATTGCTGTGTCTTTCCTTCCGTTCAATATTGTTTTATTCCAATGTAACAACCTGCTGTACTCATAACTTCATGGATGTGTTCTTGGTTTCTAACCATATTGTGGATATCAAAGCATTTGGCCTTTCTCTTATAACCTTTTCGTTACAAGCTCCACTAGGTGCAACCTCCATATTTCCATGTTGAACTTCCACCAATTACCTTGTAATCAATGTTTCACACATTATATAGCACAATCATGGTTCAAATGAAAATCCAGATTGTCTTCCAATTGGGTTGAAGTTGTTCTTTGTTTCTCTTTCTTTCCTTCCCCCCAACAACCCCCCACACCCCCCCCCTTGCATGAAGGCTGAAAAGATTTGTATCCTCTTTTTTTTTTTTTTTTTTTTTTTTTACATGAATGCTCCTCTTCTCTTCAGGCATTAGTTTAATTTGGAATTATAGGAGATGCTCATCTTTTATAGTGCTGCATATCTTGAGACATTTGTGTTTTAATATTGTTGTCTTCTACTTAATTGTTCAGACTGGGGACCCAAGATTGATGTTGTTGGGTTTTGCTTCCTTGACCTTGCATCAAATTATGAACCTCCAGATGCACTTGTCAAGTGGCTCGAACGCGGTGATCCCCCTATCTATGTTGGTTTTGGTAGTCTTGTGAGTATCTTGTTGTTTACACTGGACTTTATATTCACGTTCTTAGTTCACTGCAAAACTGAAAGTTCATTGTGAAGAGAATGAGCTATTTCCAGGATGCTTGTGCATGAATTCTTTCATTAAAGGTGTTCATTAACAGGATGCAGTTTTTAAAATTACAGGATAAATAAACATTTATGCTAGGCAATTTCATGATGTTCCATGCACGTAAATCTGGGCTCTGCATGAGCAGCAATTTTGTTTGATCCTTTGTTAATTAGCACTACCTGATGTCATGTTCTTGTTTATCTCTTGTAATTTAATGTTAAATTAGATGAGCTGAGTAAGGCTTCTATGTTTTCTTTCAAAATATTCTTTCAATTCATGGAAAACTTTATAGCTGATCAAGTATCAGTTGAGAAAAATGATGAGCTCAACTTGAATATGTTGACTTTTGATATAATCTTTTGTAAGGTTATGCAACTTGGTAGTTTAATGAATAGCAGAAGAGATTTATGATGGCTAAGGTGGAAATTTAACTTTTATTCTAGTTAATAAACCTAAGAACTTCTGCTAATTTTAAAATTTCCATAACTTCTGTAGTTTCATAAGTATCTTTAATTATGCATGTGATTTAGAAGAAACAGAGGAAATTAAGAGAGAGGCTAGAACAAAAAAGGAAAACAGACTGCTGTGCTAGCAATAAGGGATCTTTAGAGAGCTGCCTCACTGAATCCTCATGCTGCAAGGAAATGATAGAATTAAGTTTTAGCAGCCTATCATAGAGATGAAACAAGCGAGTTCCTGTTTCCATTTTGTCTTGGATTTCTGTCTAGAATAGCCTTTTCTTGTAGCAGCTCATTTTATTTGGTTAATTAATTTATCTAGAACTTGCAACAGCCTGTTCAAGAACCAGAGAAGATGACCCAGATAATACTTACTGCTTTGGAAGAAACCGGCCAAAGAGGCATCATTAACAAAGGCTGGGGTGGTCTTGGGGATGGTAATTCTAGATTTCCATCTTAACTTATCACGTCATTATCTTAGCAATTGATATTTTCAGTATTTTATAGACAGTCTATGAAGTTTATAATATTTACTTGTTCTTCTTTTCAGTGAAAGAACCTAAGGACTTTGTTTACTTACTGGACAATTGCCCTCATGACTGGCTGTTCTTAAGATGCAAAGCTGTGGTAAAATGTCATTACACTGCTCATTTGTTTTAGTGTATTTTGCATAATATAGCATAAGAACTGTAATTTTTTTATGATTGACTTTTTTCTGTTACCTAAAATTTCAGTAAAAGGTAAGTCCAGAGTTAGTCCATGGTTTAGCTATTACGTAGCCAACATTATGTTGTCCTCTTGCCCAATAAATCAAGGATGATGTTGGATCTTCTATCTGATGTCATGTGACTAATGAGTTGAGTGATCACTTTCACTTCTGAAGAGTCCATGCTCTTGGCTCTGAGAAGGTTTTCTTAGGGAAAGACTGAACAATTTAAAGCTGAAAAAAGAAGGATTATTTTTTGTGCTTCCTATTGTTTTTTTTTTTTTAAATGTGAATAAGTTATATTAATGAAAAATAAAAGTATAGCTAATAAGAAAATGGCTATTTAGGAAAACAGTGCCAGGATTACTAACCTACAGACCAGACGACGGAGAATGCAAGTCATGTGATCAAAGTTATGCTTCCTAGTGTTGTAGTCCCTTGTTCCTGTGTTTGAATTTTCAAAAGGTGGTCGATGCTGTGATTTTTTTTCCTTTGCTTCTTTAACCTCTCTATAGTCTAGACTGCATAATGAGTTTCATTATCTGTTGTCAAAGTAGTATGAACACTGTTAATGTTTCCCCATTCTTTGCAGCAATCGCCTAGTGAATGCAGAAGATCCCATTGATGGTCACTGAAATGAGAAATCCATTCTGGCTCACTGTCAATAGATATTGATAAAGGATGAACTAAGATGTACTAGTAATTGGTTTAACCACTTGTCAGCAAACTTCAAGTAGAACTCAAATTGCAACTTGAAAAACACCATTTATTTGTTTCTTTGTTCCTATGGACTTCCTATGAGGGGGCTAAATCGTGGCATGGTACAAGTCTTGACATTGTAACCACAAGGGTTCAGGCCTGAGTTCTGAGAGCAACCACTTAGGAAGTTAGACTTTTCAAAGAGCATGTATGGTGGAGTATTTTGTATGTATTCTGTAACAACCAAGTCTTTAAAGAAACTTGGTTTGTCTTGCTTTGAGTTGAGATTAACCATCTTACTTAAAAACAATGAACACATCTACAAGTAACAAATGAACTGTATGACCATGATGTGTTGTGAGATCGCTCAGTCATGAGTGTTGGATGACATTTTCTCTTGACCTTTCTATTCTAATCTTTTTTTTTTTTTTTCATCCTCTGTTTATGATCGTGAAAGGTAGGAAATTTCAAGGTTGCAAACTGTTCTCTCTGATATTCTCTTACACCTTGCTTTTTACTTTAGCAATTAAGGCAAAGGCCATTTTCTCTGCTTTACTTATTTACCTTTTCTTAAATTTTTTTTCTACAGTGACATTTTGTGTTTTTTCTGTTTCATTTTATACCTTGATGTGATATTTAACTAGGTCTTGTTTTAGGTGCATCATGGGGGTGCTGGAACAACTGCTGCTGGCCTTAAAGCTGCTGTAAGTTGTTTTCTTTTTGTTTTTACTTGATGTTTCAAAATTATACTGCTAACTTTGGTCGTTTTTGTTTTCACCGAAGTGTCCAACAACCGTTGTACCCTTCTTTGGGGACCAGCCTTTTTGGGGAGAGCAGGTTCATGCACGAGGAGTCGGTCCTGCACCTATCCCAATTGATGAGTTCTCGCTTGAAAAGTTGGTTGATGCAATACGTTTCATGCTAGATCCCAAGGTAGTCATGTTCTATGAACAGAAATATGTTATTCAATTTTTTATTACTGTGCTACATGTGTCTTGCTTGCTGATGGGGGTCTCAAATTTAAGTTACACAAGGTCTCTCTTTCTTTTTCTTTAAGTTGGATTAGCATTCTTAAAGGAAAATTTGGGGTAGATTTTACCAGACAAAAGATAGTCCCTTGGAGTAACAAATACTCTAACTATCCCTTAGAGTGCAGGTGCTAGTAGATCTTAGAAATTATCTCGTTGCTGCTGTGTGTGGAGAGATCTGAAATAACCTGAGGATCTACTTAAACAGAATGTATTCAAATTGCCAGGTAAGAATAGTATTTTAACAGAAAAAAATAAAAAAAATAAAAAAAGGACGGAAACCAAGGGATACTGGCATATAATTATCATTTCTGAATGCAAGGAACTTACGTAAATACAACAGTAACTATTGGGATCTTGGTTTTACTCTTTTGACAATGACAATCTTCTCAGTTATGTCTTCTGGATCAATAACAATAAGGCTGCTTATGTGCAGGTGAAAGGCAGTGCTATTGATTTGGCCTTAGCCATGGAAAATGAAGATGGGGCAACAGGTGCAGTGAAAGCCTTCTATAAACATTTTCCTGGAAAAAAGTCAGAATCCGAACCTGAAAATGAACCTTTGCATGCTCATTCAAAATTACATTCAATACGAAACTGGTTTGGTTGCTTTTCGGGTTAAAGTTCTGTTATACCAGTTGTACGATAGATAGCATTACAAAAATTCACATGTTAGATATTATCTTGTCTACTTGTTGACTTCTTTTAATTTATAATTTATAATTTTTTTCTTTTTTAAGTCTTGGGCTACATAATAAGATAGAATCATTTTCTAGTCTTTAAATTTCTCACTAGAACTCTCTAGGATTTGAACTGGAGACGTCCAATTGGAAAGCTTTGGTCTTTTTGCTGGGTATCATCTAGGTCTATTAGTTGATTGTATTTTATTGCTATCATGATCATAATTTTAAATAATGGTTGTGGTTGAAAAAACGATGGCGATCACGGATCGTGACTTATCACGGTAGTGAAATGATAGTTGCGGTAATCAATGTTGTGAATACATTAACAATTGTTAATTAATTTTATTATAATTCATATATTTTTAACAATTTTGCTAATTAAGCATGGTGAAAAGATATTATTTTTGGAAAATGTGTGGAATTAATTACATGCATAGGGACTTAATTGTATAACATTTGAGAACTTAATTACATAAAATTAAAAGTTGACTCAAAAAAATTGAAAAATAAAATTTAGGAGGGGGCATAAAGATATTGAAAAAGTCTAAGGGAAAGACCAAAAGCGAGTCAATTGAAAATTGAGGGACTAAAAGGTGGGGATAAAAATTAAATGGTGTGATAAATCAAGGGACTAAAATGAAATTTTTGGTGAAGATATTTTTTCCTTTATTCTCGCCTCTCCACCTTAATAAATTAGTGCAATAATTTGTCTAACAAATGGATGGCTAAAGATCAAAATGATGGAGGGTTAGGATTAAAATAAATTTGGATGGTGGAGATTAATCCAAATAAAAGGCTAGGATTTTAAGAAGAATTAAGGATGGACATTAAATCGAATTATCGGTGGAGAATAAGTTAAAAACAAAGAAAGTTCACCTTATATCACCTATAAATTCGGCATAACGGAGAAAAAATATGGTGGAAAAATAGAAAAAATAAGTTAAATTCTTGAAAAATTTTCCAAAGAAATTACAAATCAACTCAACTTAAACACTAAAAACACCTTTAAAGCACTCTATTAAGCTTGGAATTATAGTTGAAAAATAAAAAATCCCAAGGAGGAAAACAATTAGCAAGTGGTCGAAATTAAGAAGAAAAGAGGGAAGGAAAAGCCTACAAAAAAATCAACTTGAAAATAGCTAATTTGGAGAATTTAAAGTAACTAAGTCTCGCATACATTACAAGAATTTATTGTACGGTGTGAATTACTAGTTTTACACATTTAATTTAAGTTTAATTGAATTAATTGAATGAATTAGGGTCGGGGTTCTTGAAAATGAGAATTGGAGAAAATGGTTCAAATGTTGAAATTAATGAATTGATGATGGAATATGCTAATTGAGTATGAAAATAAGTGATAGAAATGAAAATTTTCCTAGCCTATTCCAAGAGGAACATTCGACCAAAATAATGATTTTTAGAGTTTATAATGCTTTTGTTTTATTGATGTTTAATTTATTGAAAACATGTTATTGAATTGCAATTAGATGATTTAGCATGAAAATTGACATTAAAATTGAAAAATTCACCTAGTTTAACCTAGGTATATTAGGCCAAATCAAAGAAATTTAGGGTTTATGGTGTTTTTGTTATATTGATGTTTAATTGATCGATTGCATGTTGTTGAAGTATATTTAGATGATTTAGCATGAAAATTGACATTAAAATCGAAAAATCCACCTAGCTTAAAATAAGTGCATAATTCGGCTTTATATGCAAAATTTAGAGAAAAGATTGGGTTAAACATACTATGGTTTAAATTAAGAATTTCTTTATGGGTTAATTGCAATAAATGTGTCCAATGTGTGCAATTATGTGTTTATGGGATGATTGATTATGTTTATTGGATGATGTGAATGAATAAATGAATTGGTGCAATGTCTTATTGTTTGAGTGACGTTGCTAAGTGTGTTGTTATGTGGTATGTTGTGTTCAATGTTCCATTTGTTTATATTGTGTTTCGTGAATAGATTGTGATGGATTGAAAGGTAATGGATTTCTATGTGCATTTTCACTTCATTGAGGTATGTAATTCTATTAAATAAATGCACGCTCATTCATGGCATGCATTACATTGATTCATGAGGTTATGCAATTACGTGTAAATGCATTGCATGAAAAAATCATGAAAAGTATTTTCTTCATGATTTTTCAAAGGAAAAGAAGAAGGTTTTCATGGTCCACGACATTTTCTTCATCGCGAAAACTAGTAAAGGCTTCGATCGAAAATTTACTTCACTAAGGGAATTGGTAATGGCTCCTATTGATAGGAAATGTCAAAGACATATCTTTTATTGAGAGAATTGATAATGGCCTCGGTTGAAGAGTTACTTCCTTGGGGAATTGGTAATGGCCCTAACAAAAGAAATGACATTTCTTTGTCAAGGGAATTGGTAATGCCTCGATAGTTGGGAGAATTGGTAATGGACCTAATAAAAGAAATGCTCGGGAAAATGAGGATTGAACATGTATAGATGTGTACATAATATACATTTAGCGGGGCACGTCCAAAGACGAGAAAAGATTTTCGAAAGAACATGAAGAAGATTTCAAGGAAAGGTGTGCATTTACTTGCAAAAGTGCATTCACTTGCATATATGTATAGAATGCATGACTAACTTACTAAGAAATAGCTCACCTAGTTATTGTGATGTAGGGGTGAAGAATATAGAGTGATAGATATGTTCTCGTTGGAGCTTGTTACTAAAGAAACTCTCTTATCTTTTCGTCGAGTGTATACTTACAGTATGTAAGTTGGACCTAATTCATGTCATCGTGCTTGCTAATTCTTGGTATTTTGGTGTATGTTTTGGGTATGGCTTCTCTATTCTATATGATAGTAAAGGTAATAAATAAGTAAACTGGTTTAGATGCGTAGCCTATAAAAGGATGGTAGGTTTGTAAATTTAGACAACCACTTTTATTAAATAGTGTGGTAATATGCTAGTCACTATGTAAAAAGAAAAGTAGATTGTTTGTCAATTAATTTTGGACATGTTAATTATGTAATAATATAGTAGTGTGTACTTGTAGTTTCTTTTAGTTAAATACTCGTATACTATTGTTGATGATAATATGGACAATTAAATAGACATGGAAATAATAAAAAAAGAATAAAAAAATAAATGACTTGATGATTTTATAAAGGATGATAATTGAGGAAGGAAAGGTTAGGCTACCAATTAATGGGTACGAAGCTAGATAAATTTATTCTAACTTATAGAAAAAGAATTTGACAAAACGAAAAGACAAAGTTAACTTAGTCTTAGCTATTAAAATTAAATGTTAAAATGAAAAAAAATTAATAGTGCATTTTGAGCTGAAATTCGTAAGGAAAGTTGGACCTATTAACTAATTAAGGGGCTTCCATAGCAAAAACCAAAATTTATACTATAGTATAGAGGATACAAAGCCTTGTGCATGAAGGATCATGTATCCTATGGAGGTGTGAAATAAAACAAAAATTTTCCTCCATCTAAAGTTCCTAATATTATATCGTTGAATCAACTGATCATATATATACATGAATTAAAGCATAAATAAAGGATTATCTTTTATAATGTAGAATTAAACCTTTACAAAAAAGGAGCTATCCAAATGTTTGACTTTTATCGATAATCCACACGATCCAAGCATCCATACAAGAAGCACTCAAAATTAGTAGAGTGTTAGCTCCACCTTTTCTAACTTATTTAGTGTTTTTCCTTTTAGAAATCTATTCATGGATATTATGAGACAACCCTAAGAGAAAGAGGAGAAGTGACATGTGCTAGGGTAGGGAGAAAACTATTTTTCTCTCTGTTTTTTTTTTTTTTGGCCATGTAGCCCTAATGCATTCTTAATCACACCTCCTTTTGTCACACCCCTCTTTCTATTTATAGGGGGAAAGGCTTCCTAGTCCTCTAAGGACATGGAAAGGCAGCGACTTGTCCCATGTGGACTCTAGGTTATTGCTTCCTAATCCTCGAAAGGATTAGGAGATATTATGCATGTGGGCTTTTTGACCTTATCCTTTAGAACATTCATCCTTATTCAATAAGGTTCATGTTTATCCTCCTATCAAAATATCTTTCGGGCATTTAATTAAACATATTGGCCTAAACTTCTTTGCCCAAATTAATTAATTTGAACTATCTAAATAAATTAGGTTAGATATTTTTAGGGGGCCCATATTAGGAAATAATTTTTCAAAATATTCTTAAACTTAAATTAGGAAACTAAGTTTTTTTTTAGGTAATTTAGTTTCAAATTTGGAACTAATTTTTAAATTAAAAAACTGATTTATAAAATAGAAAACTTTTCATTTTAGAAAAATTTCCATTTTCGAAACCTTTTTCAAAATAGGAAACTTTCAAAATTAAAAACTTTTTCTAACATTTTTGCTTCTCTTTTATTATGTGAATGCTTAAACTTATGTGTGTGACTCGATAGGCTCCTAGATATATTGGCAATGTATCAAGAATAAAAAAAAAAATACATTTTTTTGTCTTTTGATACATAAATCAAGTTGGCCTTTAGCAAGGCGTCATGACTATCCAATTCACTAGGAGGATTAATTAATTTACAATTACCTTTCACAAGCATGGTTATCATACAATTTAATCTTCATGAACTTATCATAGTGTGATCTCAAACTTGGTTATTAGTACGTTCAATTATGGTCACTTAAGTTTTTTTCAATTTCTACATATCTTAGTTCCTAAATTAAATCAACTATGCTTGTATTGGTGTACTCCTAATGTGGTCACATATTTCTTAAGCAAACATTTATCGAAGTGCAATATGATAATTCCTTTAACATACTAGGAATGACATGTCTTATCTTAGTCATCTACCTACCTCTATTAGATTCCTAATGCACCCAACGAATCACCCATATGCAATCCTACTAGGTCGATTGAAACGAGTGTCAAAGTATATGAATCCTCTAATGAGATAA